GAACCCATCAGAACCGGCAGGCTCAGAAGGGCAGCACGGCCTTCAGACTGGAACCCTTCGGGACCGGCAGGCTCAGAAGGGCAGCACGGCCTTCAGACTGGAACACATCTTTTGGCAGTACAGACAAACAGCTCACCTTTGCAACTCCATCATATCCTCAGGGAACTCAGGGAGACATGAACTCTTTCTCCAGAATGGACATGGGTGCATGTCTATTTTCAGATCCTAAAACACTGCGAACATAATCCTAATTTTTACAGACACAAAGCAAATTGAAACAACTGAGGCATAGAGACAGTATTTTTACTAATTTATTTGTCTGGCATTCTTATCCAAAGAACTTTGAATTTGCACCCATTTATACAGTTGGGTGTTTGTACTGCAGCGGGTCTGGGTCAAGTACCCAGCTCATACGTGCAATAGCAAATGTCTTATCTTAAGTTTTGAACCTGCAACCTCAGCTATGAGGCCAGAACTTTAACCACTGCTTCATGTGTTATTGTTACAAACTATGTTTTGTCTAAAACATCGTAGACTCGGCCTTAAAAAAAATGTTTGTATATTTTTCTGTTTATCAAAAGAATATACTTCCATGACCTAGGTGAACAGGGTGTCACAGCATGCAGAGCACATACTGAAACAGTGGAGATTGCAGAAGCTACGTGGAGTTCTCATCTGTGCTTAGGGACATAGCATATGTGTCTTATATTTAAACTGAATAATGACACATCAGTGCGATGTGATTTGAAAGTATTATTCTGATCCGATTTTGGCACAGTTTGTATTACTGGAGCCCCGTACCCTTGCAGTTGCAGTTTGTTTTCGCCTGGTCTTGCTGGACTCTTTTCCACGTCTTCTGGAGCCCATGCACAGCCCATGGTCTAGGCTGGCTGCATTCCAGGCAGTCCTGTCACACGAAGGCAGGGAGAAGGACTGGGACTCAGGAGCTGCCAAAGACTCCCGTGTAAGCAATTAGAGGGGCACAGCTGTCAGACAAGCTACAGCTTCTAAAACAAGTTCTCCTGATGTTTGGAGCAGGCGAATTGTTCTAATCCCCTTAAGGATCATAACCGTGAGGCTGGCTGGTTTGGCAAACATGCTCATTAAGACCTCACGTCAGGTAGTACATGCCACAGAAAAACAGTTAAATGCTATTGAGACAAAATGTACTTATTCTACAGTTATTTATATGCGGAGGTGAAACAGGTCATCCATCTTTTTTAAGCATACAAGCCCTGAGCATAGGCTGTAATCCACAAAATGCTGATTGTTTACCCTCTGAAAGAAACAAGATCATAAACAGGTTTGGCTCCAGCGAGCGCTCAGTTGAGCTGTTGGGAACAAATCATCTCTTTTATCCATCAAGCTGAAAAGTGACCTCCGGGAATCAGTATTGCTAGCACACTGTCTTTAACCACTTTTTTATTTCCTTTTCCTTTCTGATCTTTTGGAGTACACATGTTGCAAATGAGTGTGATCGGGAGGTGAGTGGCTTTGGGGCCGATGTACAGTACCAGATATGGTTTTTAGTTTCTTTGCCCGAGAGGTGGAGATTTTAAAATCCACGTCAAAGAAAACGCTAGCTCCCACCTCTGAAATATCAAAGCTGTTTATAAATGCATGACTGAAAGATACTTGATCATGTCCAAATCATGTTACTTCATTACTGAGAAGTAAGGATTGAGAGCAGGATAGATTACTGCGCGTTTCCTGGTTATCGTGCAATGGTAGGATTTTGGATGGGCATCTTAGAGTAGTATGGCCCAGCTTTGATGCTAACGTTAGGTATTTGCCAGTGACTGTTCCTTGTAGCTTTGAGGGACTTTGTTTTCTGAGCAGACCATCTTTGACAAACCTGGCTTGAAGTGACTTAAATTAAGTAGTTCAGGTGGGGAGCTGCGTCAGCATGCATAGGCTGCAAAGGAACAAGTAATAGATTTATTCCATGCTGGAAAAAAAGACGAAAGAAAACACGACATTTCAGCCGTGGAGCCTTCTTCAGGTGACACCTTTCTTCTCTTCTCAGCATGGAATAAACCTATTACTTGTTCCTTTGGTTCTAATCTGTTGACAGGAGATGCGACTCTATTCCAGACACAACAGAAATGACCACGGAGGCACTGCAGGCAGGAATAGGCCTATGTTAGGCCTCATTTCTGACTTTTACAGATTAAAAAAAAAACACCATGTATGAAAGAACATAGAGTTTGTTCTTCCCCCGAAGGCATCTCTGGAAAACTGTTCTTACAAAAACAGAACCATAAAAAAAAATGAGCTTTTGGATGGTTTCAGTACTGAAGGGTGTCTGGTAAATGTAGACATATGTGTTTCTGTGTTTTTTTCCAGGTAAAGAGCGCCTTTCTGAGATACTTGGGCTGACTGCTGAGCAGGCCGGCCAGTTTGTGGACAGTTTTCTGCAGAAATACAAACAGGTTCGGGCATTTACACAGAAAACCATCCAGCAGTGCCAAGATCAAGGTAATGCTCATTACACACTAGTAAGTGTTGCTGCAAAAATATTATGTTTCTTTATTTTATTTTACCACTTTCTTACTACAATGAAATGTATATATCAAGAGGGTCTTCTATGCACAAGGGTAGCACAGGTGGAAAATAGTGTATCTCAATTTTGCACAGTCTAGTACGAAAAGGATAAGTGACTTTTTGCTTAAATCCTAATGGGGCAAAGGCTGGTTGTGATGCTCATGATGCCAGTTTATCTCTTAGTACCAAAACTGCCTGAAGAGCACCTCTCCAGACACATGTGTAATATATTAATCATTTAAGACTGAGCTTTAAAACCTGACAGAGAGCACAGGCATCACTCGACTTGAAAACAAATGAGGAATCTCAGAAGCAAGTGGCTTTTGTAGCTGTAAAAGACGAAAGAGAAACATCTTTAGCAATTTTAACAATGTGTTCAATTCTTATACCTTTTCACAAAACGTGAGGATTGCATGAGATACTGCGAAAACATGAAAGAAGGAAAAACTAACAACGTTGCTCTGAATGTTTTCTTTCCAGGGAATAAAATATACTGCAGCAAAACTCTCCACTCTGACTGTGTTTTGGATAATCAGAAAATTGCAGTCCTTGTTTTCAAAAGCAAAGCGGGTCTCTGGTATTTATTAAGGGGTTGGCTTGATAGTACCTGTCTTACAAAGGCATGACTGTGAACCCTACAGTTTAACTCCTAACTCACCCCCCCGCAAGACAGCTTCTTTAAACAGTGAGGTCAAAGCTGCTGCTGTGCACACAGCTTTGGGTAGTGGGGAGGGTTTGTTTTAGCCATGAGGTGTCACTCCCGCTGAGATCAAACAGAGAAAAGGCTTATGCAACTTAACAAGAGCTCCTGGTGACCTCTCACTCTCGGTGCTTGACGTTTAGAGATTAACTGATTACTCTTGGTTTGCTAGAGAAAAAGTAATAGAGTTGCGCTGAGGTGCCTGTCAGGATTGGTATATCTCATTGGGTAGACTTGTCTAACTTCCAAAAGTTTGCAGGAGGTCGAACAAAATGCTTAACGAGATCGTAAAACAAAGTTTGCAAACAAGAGGTGGTTATTCAAACCATTGAGCTCTTTTGATTCTCAGTAGCTAATATTCTGTGTTGCTTAGCTACTATTGTGAATACCGTAATAACAAAAGTAGTCATTTTCTGTAACAAAGTTTGAATTTTTTCACTGAAAATATAAGGGTTGGTTCAGGAGGTTTTATTTTACTCCCAAGACTGACCCATGCAGGAATTCAGCTGCGGCCATTTGGACTTGGATTTTGTTGTGAATAGTATATCATCAGCATCTTTGCAAGAATTTATTGATCCAGTTTGCAGATTCCTTCTCTTTGCTACCATGAGGAAGACAGAGGTGTGGGTGAGGCTCATCAGCATCCCGTAGCCCAGTATTTTCCCATCCTGGTCCAGGGAAATGAAATGCCCTGTGTCTTCTGGCTTTCATTCCAACCAAGCTCTTATGTGCAAAAGTGCAATTATTGAGTTTATCTAATTCATGATCTAATGGAAGTGTCATTTCCAAGAGCAGAGCTCTGTTTCAACTTGTTTTTGAATTGTCCCTCCCTTCCACTCAATAAAAAACTCTGTTTATTTATTAATAAATGACACGCAGACACAGGCGAGAATGACACCTATGTTTAACGTTCAATAATAAGAGGTCTGAATGCGTCATAGGCCCACTGCTTAAATTCAACGACGTAAGTAAAGCTATAAGCCTGAGAAAGAACTAATACCCAGCATCTGGCTCAGTGTTCATGCTAATTTACGACCTTGTTCCACTACAAAAAACAAGGCTTTATGAGCCAGACTAACCAAGCTCATTTGTAACGACAACCAGAAGATGCAGGAGGATCAGGACCATGGCACTGTTTAAGCCACAAGAAAATGCAACAGATCAAATGTGTTGAAATGTGAAAAGTTACGAAGGGGTGGAAGTCATTCCAGTGGCACCACTATCCAAGTTTGTTTTTTGAACTGACAACAGCAGTGCATGCAAAGGCAGACTTTCAGCCCACAGCTCATAATGCATCCCACTTTTATTAATGTGATCTCTGTGTTCATCTAGGACAACCCAGATCCAACTGGATAAACCCTGCTTTCACTGGCATTGCAGGAATAATAGCACAGCCTATGAATAAGGCGCTGGAGATGAAATAGGAGCTATTGGGTGGAATTGGATGCTCATACACTCATTCACAATGAGGAATACTGGAACCCAGACAACTTTGATCGCAGTTGCACTGAAGCTCCACACTTCTAAAACCTGAAGATTGTCTGAAGAGCAGAATATTTGGGCATGGCTGTCAGTACATTTGTAGACAGGAACCAATGCAATGGTTCATAATTCAACAGGCTATTTATTACAGACTGTCAGAGACTGGGTATACATAAGGATGTATTTACTGCAGCTTACTAGGTGCTTTTAATTTAAGCTGAATGAGCCTGGCAGAGTCAAGTGGTTCTCTAAAAGACAGTAAATCATTGAAAACTCTCACTGGAAGGAGTTGATTTTTAAATATTTTTTTGTACATGGCAGAGACTGATATTGCTGACGGATCTGTCTCCTTTCAAAACTTACATATTTAGATGCCTGAGGGGGTATCTTTGTGTCATGAGTTTTGGGGCCAGAGATAATTTAGCATCTCCAACCCAGGTAGTGTCAAAGCTTTTTTTAGGAGCTGTGCAGAAGAAATATCAAGATCGCAAGTATTTAAGGATTCATGGATGGTGTTGAAAGTGCTTGGAGACTGAGGCTTCAGTCCTGGCAGCAGTATGGGGACATTATCAGTAGCTCAGCCCTGCTAAGATAAAGACCCAGTAAGTGACCTTTGAACTCTCATGACTAAATCATAAACTCCTATAAAGAGTCCCAAAAACATAATCATATGAAATGTACCAAATTAAAGCCCTTTAACTTATATTAAAAATTAGAAAATCATAGCAGGGTGAAAGTTGTTCATGTAGTTTTAGTTTTGGGGGTACATATTAGATCTTATGCTCCAGTCTGGGTTTGTGTTTTTTGTACCCAAGGGTGGTTTTGCCTGATACTGCAGACCTTATATATCCTTGTTCATGATACCACATTGGAACACATACCACAGCAGTGAAAGGCTGAGCCATTAACCTACCAATTAAATAAATACAAAACAGCATCTTCAAAGCACTCCTGATGATTGGAAGACCAGCTGGAGTTGACGTCTTCATATTCAAACTGTTAAAAAGATATTTATGAAGACTCCTGTCTGGGTGTCCAGATTCTTGGAAGAAAAACTTGGCTTTTTGCTGATGGGTTGTTTTTTGGTGTGTGCGGAGTGACCTGCAACAAGCGGACTCACTGCAGTGAATTTAACTCCAACAATAACTTCCAGCGCGCTGCTTCATATAATAGCATGTCCCCATACATTGGTAAGCTAAGCGGCCAGCAGCTGAACAAATGCTAGCATTCCCTGAATGCCACACTGCATAGGGAAAGATGGCTGACATTCCCCAATTCCTATGTAATACGCTTTGCCTGAAAGGCATACAGTACATGTAACCAAGTGACCTTCAGCTATATGTACCTTTTGTTGGCTCACTCTGCATTTAAATGGGGATTTGGGTGTAAAGTCACCCCCTATTGTGAAAACTAGGAATGTACTGCCCTTGGAGATTCCCTTTCCTGACTTTAAAATGGCACTGCACGGAAATGGATGGATCCCATTGTGCTTGTTTATTTAGGTTAATACCGTGTGTGGCTTCTGGGAAGTGGTGAGAAGATCTAAATGTGTTGACTTCAGCACATTTGGTCCTTTATGCAACAGTGTGAAATACATTTTTATAGTATTTGTAATTGGGACAGCTTAAATGGGTTATATTAAACATTATGTTGTACTGAAAAGGGTGTTTTTGTAAAGGATCCTGAAAAGGATGTTTTCAAAAAAAGGATTACAAATGAAAATCTAGAAAAATGGGTTGGATACGTGTACAGACCTTCGTAACGGCTGTTGTCAATCGGTTCTTCCAAATCAACACACTAACTAGCCTTCACACGTGTTAGTGGTAGTCATTCTGAAGCTTTCAGAATAAAATCAGCTATTCTTATAGGTCTCCTCTCCTAGGTTATGCGCTTCAAAGTAAGGCGTCAACTGTGGCCAACAAGGAGCTGGCGAAAGACCTCTGGGATGAAGTTGTGGAAAAGCACAGAGCTGAAGATGGATATAAAAACATTTCAATGGCCTTAAATATTTCTCGGAGCACACAGGAGACGATTATTTAGATGTGGAAGGTATATGGAACCACCAACGTTTTGCTTAGATCAGACCTTCATTTCCAAACTAGATGACAAAGCAAGAAGAATACTCATCAGAGAAGATCCCAATGGCTTTTATGGCCACGG